AATACTACAAGCATGATACGTAAGGATTTTGGATTGTGTTCTGGAAAAGGCATTGATTCATTTACCAAAGTATTTCATGCATTCCTGTTTTTGCTGTTTGATGCTCTGTTTTTGGGGCCTATGGTCTGGACCAGCAGCTCCATAGTGCTCTTCCTGCAAAGACATAAGCAGAGACTCCAATACATCCGTCACGCCAGCCTCTCCCCCAGAACCTCCCCTGAGACGTCGGCCACTCACACTGTTCTCTTCTTGGTGAGCTCATTTGTCTTCTTTTATTCTTTGTCCTCTCTTCTGTCATTTTACATGACCCACTTTGTCAATCCGAGCCTGCAACTGGTGCACATCTGCTCATTCCTGACGGCTTGCTTCCCAACTCTCAGCCCCTTTGTGCTCATCAGCCAAGATTCTCGAATCTTCGGATTCTATGTCAGCTGTCTCAAAATAAAAATCTTCAAATAGTCTGTTTTAAAAAGAGATTATTTATTTAGTTTCATTTTTAAAAATCATGTTGTTGTACATAATTCATGTACGATACAATTCAATGGTTTATACTTTTAAAAAAGGTGTTGTGCAGTCATCACCACAATCAATTTTAGATCGTTTTCTTCATTCTGTGTCCATTGTCATTAGCTCCTCCAAGTCTTTGTCATAACCCTAAGGATCTATTACTCTAGCTACTGTCTTTAATAGACTTTCCTATCCTGGATTTCATATCAAGAAGATTACTCACAAACACATACACATCAAAAAATCAACAACAACAACATAAAACACAGATAAACTTCCATCCAAAAGAAAGTAGAAAATAATAAAAACTAGAACAAGTTAAAAATGAGCCCAAAGAGAGGGAGATAGGATGGGGGAGGGAGAGAATGAGCTGATACCAAGAGCTCAGTATAAAGAAAATACTTGAAAATGATGGTGGCAACATATGTACAAATGTGCTTGACACAATGGATGGATGGATGGATGGATGGATGGATGGATGGTGAAAAGAGCTGTATGAGTCCCCAGTGAGATGATTTTTTTTTAAATGAGCTCAAAGGGAAAAGTGGTAAGATCTTAAATTTTAAGCTAACTATATTTGCAATTAGTTGTGATGGTTATGCACTGGGCTACTAACCACAAGGTCAGCAGTTCGAAACCATCATCCAGTCCACAGGAGAAAGGGGAGGCTTTCCACTCCCTTACAGAGTTGGTGGGCAGTGAGTTAAAGTGAGTGGTAGAAGAGTTTGGAGAAGAGTTTGAAGAGGAAGGGTGTGAATGTCCGTACAACTTGAAGAATGGAACCGATTTCGCTGAGTTGTACATGCAGAAATTGTTGAAATGGTATGTGACTATGTATGAGGTTGAGTGAAAAAAATAGTACAGTGAACCCTCGTTTATCGCGGTTAATCGGTTCTAGACCCTACTGTGATAAATGAAATTCCGCAAAGTAGGATTCCTTATTTGTAAATCAAATATTTTCTTAGTTAGAGCATAGAGGACATGAAAAAACACCGTTTAGTCACCATTACACTCGTATTGCCCAATTTATTAAACGAAAAAGGGAAAATACAGTAAAACATTTTGGACGTTACAATTATCATTTATTATTTATTATATTATTTATGGCATCAAGCGTGTACAGTATGAGCCAATCACTGGCAGTAATGACAGAGCATACGCTGTTACGCAAAAACCACGATAGAGTGAAGCCGCGGAAGTCGAAGCGCGAAGTGGCGAGGGTTCACTGTATTGCAAAAAAAGTTACAGTCTTGGAAAACCCACAGGAGAAGTTCTATCCTGTCCTACAGTGTCACTGTGAGTGGAATAGCCTGGATAGCAGTGATGAGCAGTAGTATATTTGCAGTCATCCATTATCCACAGCACTCTCTCTGAGGACAAAAATATTCACGTATTGGGTCTATGGTGTGAGGGGATTCAACAGAGACTTACTCCATGGAGGGACTCTGAAAACGGTTGGTGAGCGTTCACTGCCATCCAGAGCCATCTAGAAACTACGCGCTCAGAATGTAAGCTCTAATACAATTCCTGCTTCTGGCTTTGGGCTTACTGTTTACAGTCTCTGGATCACACAGGCTTGGGGTGTTTCTTCTGTTTGGAATTAACTGACACCTCTCTTAGAGGGCTGCTGGTCTTTACACAAGCCTTTAAGACCCCAGATGCTATTCTGATTGCCAGGCACCATCTGCTTTCTTCCCCACACTTTGCTATAGGACCACAACAATTAAGAACTAATTATTCTTAAATAAGGGGTTATGATTAAGTATGAGCTCAAAGTCTATTTCTACAGCTACGGTTTATAGGTATCTCTGGTCCGCTGCATTGTTGTTAGGTGCCATCAGGTCGGTTCCACATCACAGTGCACAACAGAATGAAACACTGCCCAGTCTTGCACCAGCCTCACCGTTGTTCCTACCTCTGAGCCCATTGTTGCAGCCACTGTGTCAATCCATCTCATTGAGGGCCTTCCTCGTTTTCCAATGCTCCTCCATTTTACCAAGCATGATGTCCGTTTCCAGGGACTGGTCTCTCCTGACAGCATGTCCAAAGTAGGTAAGACAAAGCTTTGCCATCCTTGCGTCTAACGAGAGCTCTGGCTGTATTTCTTCCAAGACTGATCGGTTTGTCCTCTTAGTAGTCCACTGTAGTTTCAGTAGTTAGAGACACCATGATCCAACAGCTATCCTATGATGGATGCTTGGAATAGTGCTTTATCGTCCTTTCATGGGACTGGACACTTAAGGAGCAGCAGGCTGCTAAAGAAATACTTTTTTTTAGTTAGGATTTAATACATATATCATTCCATAGTTCAAACACGTCCAATTGCTCCCACAAGCTGTTCCTAACCAATCTTTATCTACATGGACTCCTTGACATCATCTACCTTTTACCTCACCACTACCACTGTACCCCTTCCCTCCAAGAAATATTCTTTCCTAAGAGAAAACAACAAAAACAAGCAAACAGGAATATATATATATATATATATATATATAATGAGGGAAACAGAACATATTAAGTAGGAGGGGTCTTCAAAGCGTTCATGGAAAAAATTCCATTATTTTTCGTTCCATCGTTCCATGAACTTTTGGAAACCTCCCTGTATGTTAGTTTCCCTGGCCCGCCATGTTAAGTACCACAAACGAGGTGGTGTAAGACACAACAGAAATGTCGTGTTACTGTTATGCAGGTGTCAACCTTAAAACCAATGAGTCAGTAACACCCTGTCCATCATCTTCTCTCTGAAAGGTCTAAGAGAAGATGCGCCCTTGCTTTTTCTGGCTTCTGATAGCCCAGGGCGTTCTCAGGCTTATAGATGCATCACTGTGATCTCTGCTTCTATGATAGCTCCTCTCTGTTCTCCGTGTCTCTTCTCCTCTTTTATAAGGACACCACTCATATTGGGTCAGCATTCATGCTCCTCCATCATGCTAACTTAACTGTTAGCATTTTGCAATATCCAGGGTTAGGACTTCAACATGTTTTGAAGGAAAATCATTTAATCCATAATATGAAACTCAAGTCACTGCCAAATATACCATGTAATATTCTACTCATTAAAGAAACAGTAAATATTCTAATAAAATAGACTTTAATACTTCAGAGATTTTCTTTTTCTTATGTGGTTTGAAAGAAACATCAACCTCTGAGCAACTGAAATTATGCTAGCTGGTCTAATAACATATCAATTTAAGTAGTCATCTACGTTTCATTACATGTGTACATTTGGGGCTAAAACAGAAAGGGTCCTTGGTTTTTCTCTCTTTGTGTACATACAAAAAGCTAACAAAATCTCAAATTCTGCTTGACTTATTTACATAAAATGTTGAATCTATAACTAAAGTGTCACCAATGATTGGTTCGGAAATTCCCTACGACCGTTTGGGATTATCTGAAGAGATAAGCAGATCTACACTGTTGACAAATGGGGGAAAGCTTTCCTACTCCTAAGAGAGAGCCCTAAGAAACGAGCTCTCTCACTGTTCTCTGGGTATTGCCATGCTGAGGTAGTTAGTTTATTGTGCCAACCTGGCCGATAAACACATGTGGGATTAACTGAAGGGCGGAGAGATAAATGGCTCAGTGAGCCTCATCTTTCTTGTCTCTTGCTCTTTGATCATCGGACCAGTGGGCAGCTGCCTTGCTTATTCTGTGCCTCAATTTGCAAGCTACACTACCTGTGGGACACCTAACCCATGGACTGTGTCGCTGTAATTTGAGGTTCCTTCAACACCTGCTTCGCCACACCACTGGAATTTACATCTCTTGAGCTGGGGACTGTCATCTGGCTGACTGTTGGTGACCTGCCTTGCTGTTTGCTGCCTCTGCCCGGATAGCCTGAATTGCTCTACAGAGGATGAACTGGAGGCCCTCAAGACTTGAAGGACTGCCAGTGTCTCACAACTGTCTCACGGGAGTGCGTTGCACTGAGCCATTTGTGCTGCTTTATAATTTAACTCTTTATTTCTTGTGTTATATATCTATCCATCTGTGTGTGTGTGTATTTATTAGCAATCTGGTTTTGTCTCTCTAGAGAACCCTGTCTAACACACATGCCTCTAGATAACATCTGGAAAGCTTTCAGTCATCTTGGCTCCAACCTACACTGAGGAGTGAAAAACAGAAGAGACTGAGCCTCTGAATATTTGCTGCTTTTACTGATAAATTTAAAATCTCTGGAGCACCTGGAAGCCTATTATGTGACTCAGAATACATCATTGCTTCAGCCAGTTCGGGGTTCTTTTCATTTCTGCTGAGTGCACCCTAACTGAATCCAAGAAGCATGATCCGTGAGAGGTGCTCACTGTCTAGTGGTGGATAAGATCTATTTAGCACACAGTCATGGCGTAGGGGTTAAGTTTTGTCTTGCAGATTTTACAGATACTGTCGTGAAACTAGTCACACTCATCCAGTACCAGGAGCTAGGAGTGCTGAGAGATCTCATGCACATCAAACTAGCCCATAATAGTTGGGAATATAGAAATAGAGACCACCTCGTGTCTCCGCCTTTTGGCTGAGATCTAGTGTAGTATCTGTTCTTCTCAGTTTAATATCTGCTACGTCCTCTATCCAGGACAATCTATGAATGGATGTTTGGAATTAGGAGATGGAATAGGAGCTTGCTCCGTCCACTCCACGCATCGACCTGGTATTGCAGTACCTTAAAAATAAAGAAAGAGAGAGAGAGAGAGAGAGAAAGAAAGAGAGAGAGAAATCACAGTCATCACAACCAAATACACTACATGCCTATCTACTGTGTGGATTGGGATGCGGTGAGGACATCAAGGAGTTTCCAGGGTAACAGAATGCTGGTTGGACCTTCAGTTGGTACATTTCTTTGGAAATCTGTTCAGCAGGATTCAAATATAACTACATTTCAATGCTGCCAGGTATATATGCAGAGAAGGGAGCTGTTTTTCTGAAAGACATACATGATCATCGCCAAGTACAAATATGATCATCCAAACCCAAACCCAAACTCGCTGCAATCAAGTCGTTGCTGGCTCATAGCGACCCTATGGGACAGGGTAGAGCTGCCTCTGCGGGTTTCTGAGACTGTAGCTCTTTTTTTTTTTTTAAATAATTTTATTGGGGGCTCTTACAGCTCTTATAGCAATCCATAGAGCCATTGTGTCAAGCACATTTGTACATATGTTGTTATCATCCTTTTGAAAACATTTTCTTTCTACTTGAGCCCTTGGTATCAGCTCCTCATTTTTTCCCTCCCTCTCTCACCCTCCCTCCTGAGACTGTAACTCTTTATGAGAGTAGAAAGCCTCGTCTTTCTCCCAAATATGATCAGCGCTGTAATAAACTCTGACTTGTCAACATATCACTCCTAAGCTCATAGAATGACGGGTTATTCAATTAGGAGTTGTTTGGGCTGTGACCAGACCATGAATCCCCTTCCTCCAGCCTCTGGGAAAGACGGATGATCTGCTGGACTTTGCGGCCCCTGCTTCCAGCATTCCAAGGAGCTTATCTTTCCGGGCAGGGCAGCCCCTTCCCCCAGCATTCCCGACTGAAGCATGAAGCAAGTCTGCAAAAACAAGATGATTTACTCACAGGCCCCATCCTGGCTCAAATCCTGCAGCTACAGCACTAAAAAAACTCCCTTCCCCTTATCAGTGCACACGTCCTTAGCTCAAGCCCTATATATATTGCACCACCTTAGTGCCAATTGGGACTTCCTTAACCTAGCTCCTTAGGTTGTGGCATCCACCCGGGATTTCTTTCCCTGCCTCAATAAAGCCTATCTTAACTCCTCATCCCTGACTGAATTCTATCACCTCTCAGGAGTCATGCTGGGATTTTCCATTTATGTGGATCTTGCTGATTGTATATGGTGATGAAGAGTCCTGAGCAACAGAAAAGTGGGTGAAGGGAGTCAGTGGTTGGTATAAGACATGAAAAAATAATAATTTATAAATTATCAAGGGACTATGAGGGAGGGAGGGGGAAATGGGCTGATCCCAAGGGCTGAAGTAGAAAGAAAATGTTTTAAAATGGTGATGGCAGCATATGTACAAATGTGCTTGACACAATGGATGGATGGATAGATTATGATAAGAACTACAAGAGTGCTCAATAAAATGATTTTTAAAAATAAAATATATTGCAGTTGCAAAAGTAAAAAAAAAATAAAGAAAAGAATCCTTAAAAGAATTGTGCTGGGCACTGGGAGAATTTATGATGTCCAAAGGAGAAGCTCAAAGGCAAGGAATGCAGCAAATGGATATACAAATGTATTAAAGATCTCCAACGGAGAAAAAAACCCAACAAATAATTCAATAGGACATATGATATTTTTCTTTTCGTGGAAGAAAATAACATTATTTTCATTGATTCAAATAATTACATCACAATAGCTAGATTAAGGAGTCCACACAAACCCACCCTCACACTTGACATCCTCTCAATACAGAAGAATGCCTTCTTCCATGGGGAATCCGAAAGCAAGGAAGCAGTTAGTGATGGAGGAGAGGCTTAACTTGTGCACGCTACACGACCACTATCGGCGTCTTACGCGAAATGAACTTGGTCGTCAAAGAATTTCCCAGTTCTCCAATCTGAGCGTGATCAGGCCAATCCCTTTACAAATTTGCATTGTTTCAGCACCTCGCTGAAGCCCCCAGAGCTTGAAGTCGCCCTGGTTCTGGGCACACTCCCAAAACGGCTTCATCATATAGTGGCAAGGGCCAAACCACGGCTGTGGTTGGTACACTGACTGGGCTCCCTGAGGCTCCTGGTAAGTGATGTCAGGCCCTGAAGCCTCTGGTGATGGCATGGCCGTGCGTGTGCCCAACAGCACAGCCCCCAGCCACTGCTGTTGCCACCTGGGCCATCAGTTGGGGTGTTGGGGTGCAGCAGCGAGTGAGCAGTTGGTAGGGTTGCCACTGGTAGGTGGGTAGCTGGGGCTGGCCTGGGGCTGCTTTGAGGGGAGCAACTGGCCAGAATGGCCATGGGCAAGGTAGGGCTTTGGCAGCTATGCAAGGGGAATGTGTCGTTTAAAAGGTCTGCCATTTAAAGAACAGGTCATTGAAATCCTAGAACTGGAAAAGAATAATAATATGAAGAATGATAAAAGAAATGTCATATATAGCGGGAGGGAGGGGGAAACATGAGGATCTGATGCCAGGGGCTTAAGTGGAGAGCAAATGTTTTGAGAATGATGAGGGCAATGAATGTACAAATGTGCTTGCCACAATGGATGTATGTATGGATTGTGATAACAGTTGGTATGAGCCCCTAATAAAATGATTTTTTTTTAAAAAGGAAGAAATGTTACATAATCTCACTCAAGAGATGCAAAAATCTTTAAAATAGTCACAGTGACTCAAGCAGGGCAACACAATAATAATACATCATGGCTAGCCGGGGATACCCAGCGATGGGAAAAGTCAGAGAATCTCAATCGAGTCTACCCAGACTCGCACAGTATGTATGTACAGAAAAAAAAATTCCATTCATAGCTAGATAGATATAAACGTGACCACACGCTATTTTGTTTACTAGAGAGATTTGGATTATTTTATATTGTGTTAGTCCGGGTAGACTAAAGAAACAAATTCATAGACACTCATATGTGTATAAGAAAGAGCTTTATATACAAGAGCAGTTGACTATTGAGAAAACATCCCAGTCTCGGTCTTAAAAGCTTGAAGGTAAACAAGCGGCCATCTAGC